AACCAAGTATGTAGGACTGGGAAAGGGAGGTTTATAATACTAGCCTGCGAGTTGTGGTTTACTGCTTCTTGTGAGTATGTAAAATGAGCCACTCATTCTGAGATGTCAAATTAAATTGATAAGGAAAATCACTTCCTTTTCATGAAGGACCTCCTTTTATAGCAGTATTAGGCAACAGATATACATAGAACTACTATAAGGTTCTGTATCATAGGCATATCAATTGTCAGTAGAAAATGTATTAATTCAGTTCTCTGCAGGTGTAACTCCATTAATGTTAATGAAGCTCTATTAACACACACATACAGTATCTCTAGAAGCTATAATGAATTACAAAAAAAGGAAGAAGTTAAGATTTTTTTCAATTCTGACAGGGGGATTTAATTGCACTGCTCCGAGTGAAATGAATTTCTCAACCAAAACCTAATCTAACCAATGCTCTCTTCTCCTTTGGGAGAAGGAAATCTCATTTAGTGCTGCTTACCACTATGTCTCCATCTAAACCAATTTTATATCTAGTGACTCTGTCCTTTTGGGGACTTAAATAAATGGAGAAATGGAGGACACACTCGGACTATGGTATCACAGCCAGCACAATCATTAGGCTCTTTATTTAATTTTGTTTAAGCAATGAAAGTCCAGTAGCTGAAGTAGTGGGAGCAGGAGCAGGACTGGCTGTGGGTCCACATAGGTTTGTTTAAACAACAACTATAGAAAAGGGTGTAAATGTTTGGGTCCAGATTCTGATCTGAGTTACACCAATATAAAGCCAGAGAACTGAGCATGCACAGTCTTAACTCATACATGTGATCCCTTTTAACAAAGTCGCCTTACTGATTTCAGGCAGAATACACTCCTAGTATTTACACAATTAAAAGGCTATGTAGATTTGGTCTCCTATGCCAACAGATTGAAACTAGGAGTAATTTAGACTGGAATCAGACTTGGAGTATATAGTATAAAATTGAATGTATGTAGTTAGCATTGCAGTTATATTTTACAGTGTTAAAGCAAATTTAATCACTTGCTTGCTCCTGTTGTATTTTATTTTATATAATAAAGGCAGCATTGCTGCAATTGTGACCATGTAATTAAAAAAAGAGCTCCCATCTTGTTAAGTAGTTACATTAATAAGCTTAATACATTAAAAGAAATAGATCCAGTAACAAGAATGTGATGTTAATTAAAAACTAGTAATGTGTTGGCTATTAAAAATAACCCTGGTCTTATACTTGTGCAATGTATACTTTTTGAATCCTGAGGTGCTGTGCAGAGTGACCTTGCGTTTCCCAAAAATACATGTGAATGGGGTGTAAGGTGTATGTGAGAGATGTGTGAGAGGAGTTAGCATTAGCAATTGACTCTGGAGGTCTAGATCTCTCTCAGACTACAGACATAATCACCCAGGGCCTGTCATTGTCAGAGAACAGGAAAATGTTTCCCAGCATCTTCACACCCCCAGCAGCTTGAAGTCAGTCTGTAGTGAACTGAACCTGCAGGATACTGTATTTCCCACTAGAGGGTACTGCTGCCCAGCAGAAACATCATCTTCCGGTTCTCCCTCTCCCAGGTAACTAACTATTGTATTTCTTTGAATGTGACACATTTTAAAAAATAAATATGTCTTTTTTGCTTGCCAGTTCAGTCTATGCAGGTTAGATTAAAGATTGAATCAATTCAGACTCAGGCTTTTTGAACGCCTGTACTTAGCCCAAATAACATTTTGCACCATCCAATAACACCTGTTAGGTATTTTTCATGTTTGCAGAAAAGACAAACCCCATACATGCAAGTAAGAATCATACTCCTAGGATAACGAGAGAGCTACTCATCTATTGCAGAGTTTTTCTTTTGAACTACAGCATTTGCCCCAATTCACCCTAAGTTGTATACAGTAAAAGCCGTGTTATCCGGCACCTTATAAGCCAGCATGCTCTACTAACCAGCATGCTAGCTCGTGAGGTAAAGTGAAACCGGAAGTGCCCATCGTGGCACTTCTGGTTTCTCCGAGCCTCCATGGCCTGGGGCAAAGCAGCCTGCACTGCTGAGCCCCCATGGCATAACAGGCGGCACGGGGCCCGCCTCCCTGTCCCGTAGGAGGGGTGGTGACACCCTGGATGTGGTGGGAGAAGCGGTGACCCGAACAGGCAAGGACGCCTGTTCGGGCCACTCAATTAACCGGCATATTTTGTTATCCAGCATCCCCCATTCCCGGGGGGTGCCGGATAATAGAGCTTTTACTGTACATGGCTGTGGCTTATGACACTGACTTTACAGGTGGCTCCTGAGTCTGTTAGGCCTAAGTGTCACTAGTCTAAAGCGTCAACCATGCCTGAAGCAACCCCCTGAAAAGGACCTCAGAGCATTTTTATATAGAGGAGGTCTAAAATTATAGGAATCAGGGATATATAGGTCTAACAGGTCCCTCCTAGAAGTGAGCTCCATCCCCTAAGAAGTATTGTATGGTGGACTGTTTCTACAGCCACTGGATAAAGAAATTCTTCAGGCATCTAAAAATGTACAACAGAAAGCAAAAAAACCAGAAGGAAATTGAGCTCTGCTTTCATGCTCATACTCAAGCTAATTTTCAAAATAATAAGTGTGTTCACATGGCTTTATGCTAGTAAAGGAACACAGTGGATTTATTGATACCTAAAACAAAGGTGCTGAAAGTTGAGATGGTACAATGGTACAAGGCAATGAAGTCAGGGCTGGTAAAGACTTGGATCAACTTCTAAAGCAGCTCTCTCAGCTGAAGGAACAGGCTGCATGGTAGCAGATTCAGTGTTGATAAAAGAAACTAAGCAGTAAGCACATGTTGAAATAAATAATCTGAACTGCTCATAACCCCTGTTGGGCTCTAAATTAACTCTAGGCACTGAGAACAATAACTTGAGCATCACTATGGATAGTGCCTTGAAGAGCATCAGTATGTGATGGTAGTATTAATAACAATTTATTATTATTTATTATTATTAATGGTATAGAGAGGATAGATTGCATGGTCCTATTCACTTTTTTTATCTTACAATACATTATTAAGCTGAAAGTCAACATATTTAAAACAGGTAAATGGAAATATTTATAATTAACTTATTGAACCCTTTGCCACAAGATATTACTAAAGTAAAAAAGACCATCTAGAGCAGGGGTGGGCAATTATTTTGGGCGGAGGGCCACTTACTGAGTTTTGGCAAGCCATCGAGGAGGGCCACGTGACAGGCAGCCGGGGACCAATAAATATTAATTTTCTAAATTTTTTAGGGGCCCCATGGGCCAGATAGAATGGCCTGGCAGGCTGCATTCAGCCCACAGGCCACATTTTGCCCACCCCGATCTAGAGTAAAAAAAAAAAGGCTTAGACATTCATGCAGACAATATGAACTAACAGAGTTACACTGGATAGCATAAAAAATGTTAGAAAGTTTAAAAAAAAGATAGGTGTACCATGCACTGGACTGAACCTAAACCCTGCACTCTGCAGTCCGAAGTGGGAATTCTGTATACTCTGTGCAACTTCACCAATTTTTTCTTGTGCTACAGTTCCTCAATTAAATTTGAAAATAACTAATAGGATCTGTAAGGAAAGGTAGCTGTTACCAAGTGCAAGAAAAATTATCCTGTAGCTACAGAACTAAATCAAAAGGCTAACAGCAAAGGCATAACAAGGTTTTTTTAGTAGGGGGAGAGGTTCCCCAGGGCAGTTGCAGTGGCTGCTAACTTTGCAAATTCTTCTCCTCTCCACCCTCCTCTTCCCACCTTTCCCTTCTCCCCCCAGTTAGGCTACTGGCTAACAGTATGTTAGGGAACAGAGTGGACATTTACTCCAAAGCCAGAAATCAGCCTGCCCACAGCAATCCTTGTAGGTTTTAAAGACCAGGCTAGACAAAGCCTTAGCTGAGATGAAATAGTTGGGGACCATCCTGCTTTGAGCAGGGGATTAAACTAGATGACTTTCTGAGGTCCCTTCCAACCCTAATTTTCTATGAATCTATGAATGTATCCTCCGTGTTTTTCTGAAATACAGACAAGTCTTAATAGGTGCTCTTGTGAAACAAGAAAGGGCATTTTGCCTTTCCTCCCTGCCTTTGCTCCAAACACCAGTCCTCTGTCCTCACATCTCTTCCCTTCATCTCAGGAAGCTACTGATGTGAAATGCTGCTTGGACCGTGGAAATACAGCCCTTCCAGTCAGAGAGGAGTTCAGTTCAAGAGCTGAAAAATGGGTCTCCTCCCTTAAACAGAGCAAGCTTTCCCTCTGGTGCTACTTGGTGTGGGGGAGCTAAGGTCTGAAGCCAGGGAGCTGGTCATTTCGGCAAAGAAGTTTGCTGAATCAAGGCTCTGGCATTATGATCTCTGAAGGTTACATAGATCTTAGACACTGGAGGAAAGAAGCTAGAAAGATAGACTTTAGATAGCAATAGCACAGAGAGAAGACACCATCAGAGTTTCCCTGAAACTGTTCAAACTAGTTGCCCCTGGGTTTCCATTATAATCCCTCATTGACAAAGAGGAAGCAAAGCTCCATATCAGTAGCAGCCACTGTCACTCTCCCTCAGTGATCTCTAAATGTCTCATCTAACCAACTATCCAGGCATCTTACTTTTATGGTATTACTGTAGCATCTAGAGGTTCCAGATGAGGACACGCATGGCCAGAGAGTGGATCTTCCTGGGCAGATCCATTGCTCCATCCCCATCCCTGGAGATAAGTGTTAAAAGAAATGACTGAAGAGCTGCAGCAAGGAGCATCCCCTCTCAACCCCACCTGGGCCTTGGGAAGTATTGCACTTTTCAGGGAGGCGGTAATTTCTCCCACCCTCTTCTTATAACAGACAAAACTAAGCCCAATTTTGGTGGCCTT